TGCACTCTAAGAAACCTTGATCGGGTTTTGGGGACTGAGTAGTGTTCCACCACCAAATCTCTCATGATTGAACATCAGGAATTAGCCAGAAGGCGGGGGGACGGGACAATTAGGAAAATCAGTTCATAAAATGAAGAACAGTTTAGAAAGAGAAAATCAGATGAATTAAAAGGAGACAGGGCTATGCTAATCTTCTCTGTATCATTCCAATTTTAATATATGTGCTGCCGGAGGGAGGGCTGAGAATTGCAAATGGTGGAAGGACATACAATAACACTTTACTCCCATTTAATTTTATTATTTATTTTCTTTGATCATACAATTATTAGTAAGAAATATGTTTTGTTGTCAATGTTTCATTGTTAGACATCCATATATTAAATATTTAGGAATTATAACCTGAAAGATTATAGCATAGAACATTTTGCAACTTTTGTACCAGAAGCAACTTTGGCATCAGTATGGAAGGCATTGCGTAGGCTTGTATTCCTGTCTCAAAAAATGATCCAGAATCTCTGTTGCCTCCTCATATTCAAAAGTGGCAATAAATGGTTGACATTTGATATGATTGTAGTATAAATTGAAGTATAAAAATAATTATTTATGCTTCAATTATTTATAATTAGTGCTTATATACAATACAGTATAATGTATAATTAGCAATACAAATTATAATTAAAGTTCTGTGTTTTTTTGTGGAACCAGAAAACTGCTTAATTTTGTGAAAGCATCTTTGCTTAGATCAAAAAATGTAATATCAACTTCTAACTTGTTTTGTAAAATCACTTTGGTTGGAGGATGTGGAACAAATATCTTAACCCCTATCCCTGGTTTATTTTGCATATTTTACTGCAGTCCTTGTATTTGAACAAAGATCAAATAATTAAATTTGAGGGGATGAAATAAAAAAGATATAAATGAAGTTGGAGATTTATTCCATACCACATTGCTAAATGTATTCCATACTGCATTCCAATACTATATTGGAATGGATCTTTTGATCACCATTCAACATTTCATTGGTTCCAATTGAAATAAATTTAATGTTTGTGTGGTTGTTATTTAAGCAAAAGGAAATGAAAAATCAAAGAAAATTAAATAAAAGAAAATGAAAATGTTTTATACCTTCAGGTATATATACACACTGTATATATAGTGTACATTCAAGTCTATTGTCAAATCCATTATCCTTGGATCCTCAAAAAGATTGCAGTAGGAGATATGTGTAAAATATATTTATATTAATGGCTTGAAACTTACCTGGGGTACAGATCCATGAATGTTTATTGATAATATTTATTAATACTCAGTGGATTTCTGTATGGTTTAATTTCCCTGACCAAATTGCTAGAAACCAAGGTAAAGGAAAACATTTTGAAATCAGTAGTTTGGTGTCAGCCCTTAAATATAATAAAATAAAATCTAATCTTTCTAAAAATGTTTAAGTGATTGGGTGAAAATAACAGGTGTGGGGTTTTTTTGCAGGATAAAGAAAGTTTTAATATTCTTATTGTAGATGGATGAAGATGATGAACAATTGGAAATCAGCCAACTTCCCAGCACTCCAATGTGCAGCTTTGTTGTGTTAATAAAGAATTTGCCAGACTTTGTTCATTGAAGAAATCAATGGAAGCCTAATTGAGATATGTGATTTCTTTTTAATACATTGAATATAAAGAAAAAAATATATTCTGAACTCTTTCCCACATTACAGTTGAAAGGAGAGATTCCAAAGACTAATATTCTTTACAATGGATACAGGCTTGTAAATTATAACTATTGAGAACTATTTAATTACAAATTTTTCTTTTCCCATGTTGTTTTTATTCAAACGTAATTGGATAAAAATGGTAACTGATCAAGTTAGTTTAAAAAAACAGGATGATGAATTGATGTGATGTAAGGTTAGGTTACTCTATAATTGTCAAATAATTAGCATTCTAGATATTGTGTTCTATAAACAAACAGTTAATTTCTAAATTATGAGCATCCAAGGGAAAGCATGTACTGATCAATTTAAATGATCAAATTTATAAAATATAGTACCTGGGAATTTCTAGGGGAAGAAATTGTATGGGACCATTAACTATGTCAATTCTGTTTCCCCATTCTAAATTTATATATCAAAAAGATGTCTCACTTGTCATTTTACTCTGAGGAATTTTCAAATACTCACAGTTTTGAGGTGATTGTTATAGCACCAAGCTTGAGGCCTGGTTCAGTCTAGATTGCTATTAATCATGCCCTTAACTTTACAAGGATTCAGCTGTGACAAAATTTGGCTGAAGTGGATTTAGATCTACCAAGTTTCTGGAGGCACCTAGGAGGCTCTTCTCCTGATTGGCCAGCTCATTATATACTAAAAATTAAAAATACAAGCTTGTGATTATTAGTATTTTTCATACTGTAATTTAGAATAGCTCACTATCTATCTATTGGGAGAGGTTTTCAGTAGTAGGACAATTCTGTTCTCAGTCAGTTCCCATGTAGGTGGGCCTACTCAGTGGAGCAGAGACAGGTTCCGAGTTGACCTTTCAATCATCAGGCTGTAATTATCTCTGCACCATTCCAAGTGAAAACAAGCCCAATTCTTCTTTGGATCTGAAGGATGCCCTGATTAAGTGGAGTATGGTCCAAATATTCTCATGTCATAATATATCTATAAAATGTCACAAAACTGTAGGATATTAATTCCAGAGAACTAAGAACTGTTGTATGCTCAGTCAGCATTTTTTCTATTTCTCAAGTTTCATGTTCTCATTCCAAGCTTGGATTTTTAGAACAGTTCATGGAGACTGATCTCCCGTGGTGATGGGAAAGTAAAAAGCCTTTTTCTTTTCAGTTATTTTGGAGATTGACTGTACACACACTGCACAACTGATTTTCACATTTCATCCCACAAGAAATACAAATCAGACAAAATGATACATCTGTAAAGTTGTTGCTTCATCATCTTCCGACTCCACCTTCTTGAGCTGTATTGGCCAAGCTGTCAGATTCCATCAGGCCAAACATGTGATACGTGGGAGAGTAAAAGTGGAACCTGGCCAATCAAGAGAAGAGCCTGCTAGGTGCCTCCAGAAACCTGGTAGAGCTAAATCCGCTTCAGCCAAATTCTGTCACAGCTGAATCCTTGTAAAGTTAAGGGTATGATCAATAGCAATCTAGACTGAACCAGGCCTCAAGCCTCAAAACTGTGAGTATTGGAACTGCTGCCATTAACAAGGGGAAGGGGAATGCAAAAGACAGAGAACTATTACACAGAGCAGCCAATAGATGATGGTATGGGTAATGATAGTGGTAACATTTTCTTTAGTTCAATGTCTTGTGTTGCTGCTCCTGCACATTTCAAGTTGAAATAACAGCACGTGTCCATTACATCATGCAAACTGTTGAGGTTTTTTTTTTGGGGGGGGGGGGAATTAATCAAATGTAAACATGAGCAATCTAGCTGGAGAATTTTGTGATACAGTTGTGGTTGCACAATGGTTAGAATGCAGAACTGTAGACTAATTATGCTGACTGCCAGAGTTCAATTCACACTGGCTCAAGGTTGACTCAGCCTTCCATTTTTCCAAAGTTGGTAAAATGAAGATCCAGACTGTTGGGGGCAATATGCTGACTCTGTGAACTACTTAGAGAGGGCTGTAAAGCACTGTGAAGCAGTATACAAGTTTAAGCGCTAGTGCGAAGTGCTATTGCTATAACAAAAAGTAACCCTTTCTCCTTTCAGTTTTGATCCCTTCCCAATAATTAGCAATAATAATATATAATATTCTACTGGTATCTGAGAAAGTTCAATTATAGTTGCTATTAGTTCAATTTGTTTGTGTCTTTCAGTGTGAGTTTTAGATGATTAAATTCCCCCTTCTGCAAATAGTACAGTATGCTGTGAATTCAAATCTAAATTATCTCTACACTATTTTTTTAGTAAAATAATGAAATTCAGAGTTTCATTTTACTATAGATTTCATTTTCATTTTACTATATTATGTAGCATGTCAAGTTATTGAGTAAAAAGTACCAGATTGCTGGTTTAGACTGAGCACAAAGTGGCACCAACTGAACAATGAACAAAGCAATTATCCTTTGTAGCTAAAATCTCTACTAGAATGGGTGACTAAATGACACAAGAAGCATCCCCTGCAAGGGGTAAATGACTCATTCAGACACTCTAGCAGTCTTTCCTCAAGGTTCAGACCCAGCTGGGGAAAGCCCCCCCCCCTTCCCATTTAGGGTGATCAACATTCTTCATTACACATATAGGAAAAAAAAACTGTTCCATGAAGCCCCATCATCTGGAAAGACAAGGAGGGCCAATTCAGGTTTTCCACTTGGGCACTAAGTGTATTTCATCTGCTGCTGCAAGGAAGGGACCTCTATATAGCACCATGCAGTAAAAGTGCAATGATCAAAATATTCTAGGTCTGTTTGATTGATTGATTGATTTCTATAGTCACCCGTCTCAGGAAATAATTCTGGGTGGTTCTTTTCTGAATTCTTTCACTATTGTGGAGCTTCTTCAATACTTCTTAAGCAAAAGACATCTAGATCAGCAGCTCATGGAAAGGAAGAAAAGCATTATCTGTATACTGATTTTCTTTATTTTTCAATTAGGCAGAAATAATACTGCAGACCAGTGCACTGTTTCCAGCTCTATTAGGCTGTCATATTCCATAATGTATCTGAGGGAATCATACTTTACTCCTGAAAGTTGTCTTCCACAGCACAACACAGCAGAAATGATTATTTTAGAAATTCTACAGGATCCACTTACAACCAGAACGCTTTCAGTTCATTTTATTTAATAAAAAAAGAAAAACTCACAAAGCTTGTATGTATATCTTATATATATAAATATATACAGTATATATAAATCAAATGATTTCAGGCACTACTGTTGAGTGTGGCATGAAACAAAACAAGTAGCAAAGAAAGTATGTGGAGTCTTAGTCCAATACAATAGGCTTAAGCATGCCTATCTTTGTATTAGATTAAGGCCTCTGATTTTTGCATTGGAAATTAACTTTCATTTATAGTACCTGCACATCTGGATTCTGCTCTTTGTTTTCTCCAAAATTTGTAGGTTTGTACCAGCTTTTCAATTCCACAGAGTAATATCTCAAATACATTCTCATCAGGATGAAGTGTTCTATGTGATTTGAAAATTTGTACATTCCTGCATTGGCAGAAATTGGTTCAAAGTAACGTATTTTTATATTTAGCGATTCTTTGGAAACCAGCATAACAATATCAAAGAGGTTGTGGCAGAATAAACAGTAAGACACATCTATAATCAAAATCGACTTCAAACAGCTAAGAGAAGGTGAGATTCTAGCCAACAGACATAAACGTTTAGATGCTAAGGCATCTGGCATATGCTGGTGGTCACAACATCAGTTGGGATCCATTGTGCTTTGAATGGATCAGAGGATCAACAACCATGAGGATCTTTGGCATAAGATTTCAGAGTATTTTAGAAGGTTTCAAATACAAGGGATGAGGGGCAAACACAAAAGTCCAATGGGGAACACAGAAGAGACAAGTGCAGGATCTTTGGCTTTGCAGTCATTCCTAGGATTAATTCAAGCCTTGTATCCTTCACCGAAGAAGCTCCTAGAAGAGATTTCTTGGCACTTTGGCAATATTGTGGGGTTATTGGTATTTGTAACGTCATGTTGGAAACTGTTTTCCATTTATTTGGATCCTGCTTTTATCCTCAATGCAAAACTTTAGCTCAAGTTGCTGGACTTTCCAGGTCTGAACAAATGGCAAAGCAGGACAGTTGCCCCAGGCAGGGATTTTTCTTTGTAGATTTGGGCTGTTCTTATATGTTGCTGCCCTCTAATTTACAGTTGGCACCTGATTCCTCTGTAAACTATATTCCTTTGCCTTCAGTCTCAGATTGGCAATGCTGTTAGCCATATTCATGCCCTGAGCTGGGCTGGCATTGGTACAGGAAGCAGAATAAGAAGCCATGGCAGTACTGGGAAACAGAGGAAAAAAGAGGGGAAAAACAACAATACCACATCATATTTTGATTCTACAATTCATGTACATTCAGGTGACCTGCATAATGTCAAGTATCTAGAAAAACAGCTAGCTAGCCTGCCTAAGTCTTGCAATGCAGTTTGATTTTTAGCAGTTAAAGCTTTACATGGCATCTGCAAATGAAGTGGCTAAGAAGTGGAAGGATAGAAGCTTGGAGTCAAACATTTACAGCCATATTATGCAACTGTATTCCACTAATCTTAATTTCCAAGGAGTACTCCTGAGCTTGGAGTGATGTGCCAGGACTATGGCTCAAAAAAAGGTGGGGCAATAAGAAAACCAAACTGATTTAAATTGAATGCATTAAAAATAAGTTAGCATTCTCTACATAATAATTGTCTCATGATCCTAAAATAATTACAATCTAGGAACAACATTAGTAACTGAGCAAAATATCCTCTCATATATCAGACCTTCATATTATGTTTACTACTTGAACAACTGGAATAGGAACCATCCAAGATCTAAATCTAGATTGTGGAAGAGACTGGTAATTTGTTGCAGACATCCCTAATCTGGTGCCCTGCAGATAAATTGGAATTGTGCAGTTACACCAGTTGGGAATTCTGGGAATTGTAAATCTAGGCTGTCTGTACAGCACCAGGTTGGAGAGATACTACTACTTTTAGGAAGAGGCTTTATTCATATTGTACACATACAAGATATTAATAACCATATAATCCTTAAACAAGTAAATTCAGTTTATCAAGGTTCTCTTGCCTAGCAAGCAAACACACATTTAGTTTGGAAGAACTGCTTCTACATCCCAGATCAGAGTATCAAAGAAACTGCCATTCTTATTATCACAATGCATATTCCAATGTGCAACGAGGGTATTAATATATATTTTAATTTACAGAGAATTCATTTTTATGGGCATACTTCCTAAGCATCTCAGTGTTTACTACTTCTCTAAAAGCAGCTTTATGTATACTTCAGTGCATATGTCAGAATTTTTGATAAGCAGCATTACAAAGGAATATAAATGAATTATGCAAAGAATAAATGAAATTGCACATGTTTAGCCAGGGCACAAAATAAATGGGACTACCAACTAATAGCACTTTGATCTTTCTAGTCATGGGTCTTTTTCATATCTGTAGCTCTTATAATTTCATTCAGGCTTCGAAGTCTTATACATTTTTGTCTACAGATTAGATTTATCACTGGAGTGATAACCTGGGAATCAATCCTACAAAGTATAAATTGAAACTTTTATGGGGCTGCTAATTCTGTTACAATCAGGAATGCAGAACTCCCTTGGATCCCTCCATTCCAGAGTCTGGATCCACAACCAGACAAAAGTATCTGAAGAAAAGGTCCTTCTGATTCATCAAAGTCTTGCTGACATGAGTACAGTAAAAGTAATGGTCAATGTTTTAAAAACCTACAGAACTAAATTAAAAGTAGCCAAAAGAATATTCTGATTTTTTCTTCTGGGACATATTTGGGAGGTTTATTTTGGAAAATATTTCCAACTATCTTCAGTAGGCTACAATTTGCTTTCTGTCTCTACTAGGGTTGTGTGTTGTTGATGCGCTGTAGGCTTGTCTATTTGTGAGTTCCCTGGAAATCTGTTTTGAGTTTGACAGCTTAATTTTAATCAGGCATTGACCAGTGGCATCTGTAATGAACACTTCTGAGAACTGGTGCACCAAGTTTGTTCCAGTGGTTCAGTACCCAATTCTTTGAAGAGAAGTGAACTAATCTCCCTTAGGTTTACCAAGTTCCTAAATAAACCCATTCATTTCCAAGAGTCTGATGCTGGAAATAATCCCAGTGGTTTAAACCTCATTACTGTTTGTTTGCCAGATCAATCAGTCTTTGGGTTCTGCCTTGCCTTTCTCAGGCTTACTGGCAATCAAAATAAAATTAAAACTTTAAAAAAATGGCATACCAAGCAAAAACATGATCCACATTTATTTTTGTTTGTTTTACTTTGTTATTCAGAGTTTGGCCAAGAGCATTTCCCATGAGTTTTGTGAAATACTGTTTGCTTTTGTTTTTTGTTTGTTTTTTCTTGTTTTCCCCCCCTTTGGAAAAAAAGACTTTCAAAGGATAATCCTTGAGGGTGGCAGGCAAAAGAGCTGCCAATGGTATAAGAGAAGAAAACAACAGTGATTAGGCCTGGGAACAATTCTTCCTTTGGGCACAGGAGCCAATTACTGTGAAAACACAACATTTTCTCATAATTTGTCAGTAATGAAAAGGGCAGCTTGCCAGGTGAGATGCAATGAATCAGTGTTGAGTCAAAATGACGAAGATGCACCAAAACATTTTTCAGAGATTAATGAAAAAGTGAAGAATAAGTGTCTGTGGTTTTGTTGTGGTTCGCTGGCAGCAGGTGTGCATGGTTGAGGTCTCTGAGAGCGAGGATTCAGATGAGGGGCCTACGTGTGATGCAGTGATGGGGCCAGGACTATCGGAGAGTGGGGTGCTGCCTTCAGAGCTTGTGGAGTCTGGCAGCAGTGATGCAGAGAACCCTGAGGAGCCTGTGCCCAGTGCATGCGCGTGCAAGGCTGCTCGAAGGAAAGAGCAGCTGCAGCAGCACGGGCGAATCGGGAGTAAGGCTGCAAGGTGATGGCCCCTCCCATAAAGGGTAAAAGCCAGCTCTCAGGGGTTGGGTTCTTTGCAGGAGACAAAGGAGTTATTTCAACTCCAAGTTCTTGTGGAAGTCCTGTCTATTCTGGTTTGTTTTCGGAGACTTTGGGTTTTGGATATTTCCCTGCAATTAATCTTGTGTTCTTGGCAGACTTTCACAACTTGAAAGGGCTTGCTCTTATCTGCGACAATTAGTTTTAATGACTCTTTGCTGTGATTGAACAGAATTCACAGAGATGCATTAAAAAGATTAACAGAATTCACAGAGATGCATTTAAAAAGTTTATATATACTTTGGTGGCTTCTGGTTTGAGCTTCTTCAGCAACAGACTGAAATCTGCGATCGTGTGCAGTTTCGATTTGTGCTCGCCACTGGAGCGCCCCGAGCCAGCTGGTTTCAGGGCTAAGCCACCCCTTAGAGGTGGTGAAGAGGGGGGAGACTGCCAGCAGGGTTGAGAAGAGCCACATCTCTCCTCCCCAGCTGGTCATTACTCCCTTTCCCAAAGGCGGTTGCAGCAGTGGTCAGAAATCGCCACCTCAAAGAAGAACGCAACTGGAAAAGAATGTGCAGGAGGAAGATAAGAAGAGAAAGTTTTGGCTGACCAGGTCGAACTGAAAAAGCAACAATATAAGGTACCCTGGAATTTGAATTATAAAGAACAACAGTGTTCCCAAAGAAGACTTTGAAGCAGCGAATGAGAGAGGGAAAGGAAAGGATTTGGGTTTGTTTTTTTTTCTTCCCTATATTGACAACTAAGAGATTTAAGCAAGAAACTGGGAAAAATCCACTTTGACATTAACAGGTATTTAAGCTGAAAATAAAATGTCAAAGGGATAATAAAGATTTCTGGATTCTCAAAAACTTTTAAAAGAAGGAAAAAAACAAAAGGGTGGGATCTGGAAAAATGGAGGAGACCACCTGGAAGTGAAAGGAATTAACAGTGAAACTTTAAAAAGATTCCTAAAATATACATTTTAACTGAAACTTTGTAACAAGATAAGAGAACCCCAGGAAGAGAAAGTGGAAAAAAGAAGCAAGAAGAAACAGCTTTGGATTATTTGGATTACTTGGTGATTTTTGGATTTTTGGCTCTCAGATCTAAAGGACTAAAATTAATCGGGTGGTTGTTTAAAAGTTTTTAAAATGACATCACTCTTGGAAGAACTGAGAATGGAACTTAAAAAATAGAAAGAAGATGCACAAGAAGGAAGGGGTTCTTTTGGCTTCATATTTCAATTTTTTGAAATGGAGATCCTGAACTATGAGAAACAACAAGAAATGCCTGTAGAACAAGAAGGGTGGGACAAAGAAGAAGCCATCTTCAATGACCAAGTATTTCTATGTGGGGAAAAGAAAGGAAAGCGGGGGGGGAAGAGAGTGAAAAATTTAAGATTTGAAAAAACAACCCAAAAAAGAATAGTTTGAAAAGTAATTACAACATTAGGAAGAAACAGAAGAGAGGATTACAGAAGAGAGAATCAGAATTAGAGAGAAAAGGGATCAAAAAGGGAAGGGAGAAGAAGGGAGGGAAGAGGGAAAGGAAAATAAATTATAAAGGACAGAAACAGGACATAGAGAAACAGGGAAAACATACAAGGATTAAGGGTATAAGCCTATTTAGAAGACACAGAGATAATGGGTGAAAACTTAATTGAAAGGGGGATTCTGCAAGGGTACATAAGATAGTATTGTTATATTAGAAATAGAAATGAACTTTGAAAATATGAAACAAGTGTGATTAAAATGATAGATAAAATACTCATTGTAATGTAATGGAATGTTTAATAAATAAATGAAATAAAGAGAATGAGAGAATGAAATTAGGAAAGGAGGGGAACATTTTAATCATTATAAATGTATTATAAAAATTTAAGTGAAGAAGAATATGAAAGAAACATGAAAAAATTATGGAAATATTATTAGTGTTCCTAGAAGTATGATACCCTATTGAAAAGAAATGTTAAAGATGTCAAAGATTATAACTAACATTAATGATAGAGCTGAATTGGAACAGAATAAGTATTTTATTTATTATTGTATGTATGTGTGTGTGTGTGTGTGTGTGTGTGTGTATGTATGTATGTATGTATGTATGTATGTATGTATGTATGTATATATATATATATATATATATATATATATATATATGTGTGTGTGTGGATCTTTGGTTGTTCGGGTTTTCTCCCGCGTAAGATTCGAAGTATCTAGGCAACGTTTCGATGAAGTCTCATTCATCATCTTCAGGCTTCTGTCTTCGGCTCTTGCTTCTCAGAGTGATGTGAGATTGCAGCTGCTTCTTCCTTTTAACTGCTAGTGGGGGTGGGACTTGATTGGGTGGGGGCTTGGCTGTGTTCTGATTGGGTGGGGATGTGTTCTCATTGGTAGGGGTTTTGGCTGTGTTCTGATTGGTTGGGGGGTTGGCCGTGTTCTGATTGGTTGGAGGCGTGTTCTGTTCAGGTGGGGGCTTGGTTGTGCTCAGGTTAGTCTTAGTTGCTGGGGGATTTGAGTTGGTGAGCTGTGATCTTGCTGTTTGGCTTCGAGTTCGTGGTCGTGCTGCATCTTCATAGTAGGTGTCGGTTTGCTTCATGTATGGCTCGGAGGGGTTTGAAATGGGTAGTGATGCAGCTGCAGTGCAGCTTCTGGTCCATGGTCCATGGTCCATGGTCCATGGTCGTGTCTCATCTTCTGAGTGGGTGTGCCAACCCCCCAACCAATCAGAACACAGCCAAACCCCCTACCAATGAGAATACACCCCCACCCAATCAGAACACAGCCAAGCCCCCACCCAATCAAGTCCCACCCCCACTAGCAGTTAAAAGGAAGAAGCAGCTGCAATCTCACATCACTCTGAGAAGCAAGAGCCGAAGACAGAAGCCTGAAGATGATGAATGAGACTTCATCGAAACGTTGCCTAGATACTTCGAATCTTACGCGGGAGAAAACCCGAACAACCAAAGATCCACATACAAATACCCGCGAGAACCTCAGAAAACAAATATATATATATATATTCTCCTTAAGAACTTAGTGCGTATTTTAAAAATGTACCAAGCAGAATTTGACTGGAAGTTATGTGTTATATTGAATGTTATAATTGTAAAGGCATAAATTGAAGTTTAAATAAGAATTGAATGGATAAAAATTAAAAGATACAAAGGTGTCATACTCCAATTAGTAACTACAGGGAAAAATTTTGTTTAATGAGAAAAGAAAATATGAAATTGAAACAGGACAGACAAAAGTATAAATATAATGACTAGAAAGATATTGAAACTTAGAAAAAGATATATATAATTGAAGTTAGGAAGGAATGACATAATTAAAAGTAAGATTGAGAAAACTAAGGAAAAGGAAAAATTATTGAGAAAATGTTAAAATAGTAATAAGATATAGAATAGAACACAAAGATGAATATGGAATTGAATTTGTGTCTGTATGGAGAAGTGATAACCCGGGACCATGCTATTCTCAAAAAAAGAAATTTTATTTGTATTATGTTTTGTGAAAACCCAAATAAAATTTTTATAATAAAAAAAAGGTTTATATATACTTTGTGTTTATTTGATTTGAACAAGGCTTGGGTCAGAACAGGTTTTGAATATACTCTGCTATCTCAGATTGGACAACAGTCAGCACATGAAGCGTTGCTGTCAAACGGAACGGAGCAGTTCCAGCACCATTTGGCCATATTGGCTGAATAGCACTGCAGTATCATCATGTCCAGGGTTTGATCCTTAATTGCCAAATTAAGTCATCATCTATGTACCATTTGGGAAAGGGGTGTTGCTACAATATTTTGCTTTATAAAGCGAATCTTAGTTCTGAATGTATTCTGTTGGTTATTTAAACCAAGTAAACAAGAGAATTCAAGTGAGTCTGCTGTGTGTCCCATTACTCAATCACTTTCTTTTCTTATCTTCCTTGTTTTTCCAAAAGAGGCTGCCAAACTCCATTAAATCCTCTTTCTTTTATTTTTCTCAGCACTACCCTATTTCTACTTTTCAATAGCTCCTCCCACTTATGCATGGTGTCCCGGCCAGAAAGAGTGTAAATTCTCAAAGTAGCCTATTTCAGATTATAATCTACAAGTTTTTGCTTCGAAACTATCTTCACAAACCAGCTTTTCCCAAAGAATCTTGCAAATGTTAGTTTGCTGAGGGTACTGCAAATTGCTCTCATTCAGTTCATAACTGACATAGGCTTCTACAGTCCTTATCTAGATTTCTCCTTATATGAACATTATCCTTATTTGGATATACATGCCTCAGGATACATATAATTTATTAGGCTTTGTCACCCACCTGGAAAGAATGACAGGTGGCTGCAGTGAACCAGAGGCAACCAACAGGGTTACAAGATATATAGTCACCTGTAAGGAGAGGCAGTTCCCCAGGAGAGATAGTCGCTGGCTCTTGGTGCTGGGCGAGGTACAATTGGTTGCTCCACTGCAGTAACATCACCTGAGTAAGACTTAAGGAGGGATGCATTTTTGTTGGCCAGCATTGCTCGCTCATTCCTGCGAAACTTTGCCCGTCTGTTCTGAAACCACACCTAGGAAGAGAAGCACACCAGAACCAGGTATCAGACACTGTGGCATGAAAATAGGCATCGCAATGTTCTTCACCAAAATCAAAAATAGATCCTTTACTGCTCCAGCCAGCACAGCATAAGAAGTTTCAATTTACATAGTAATTACTGGGGGGGGGGGGGGGGGTTGCCAGAAGGGGATGCTTTTGATTCAGCGAGGGTATTAAAGTAGGATCTAAGGAACATAAGTTCAATACTCCACTTACTAAAAAGGAGCTGGGCTAGCTAACCACATTTTCAGGTAAAGGAATGAATACACTCTATCATCATAAAAAGAGAACACTGCTAAGATATTGGGTCAAAAAACAACTATCATTTCAGTTTATTTAACCAGAGATTATGATCTTTAAGAAATATGTAACATATTTTTTCATACACTCACAGGGATTAATGTAATCATTACAATTTAATAAATATGCAATAAATATTAAATATTTATTTAATAAAATAAATAAGCTACTAAGCTATATAAACTATTCAATACATATGGCCCATTTATCTATAAAGCAGAGATAAGAATACTTTCAATCTCAAGTTAAGCAAGTGTGAAAGAAGGAAAGTGCTATCACAAAAATTTTCAATGACCTACTTAGAAAAAAAATCAAAGGGATCTAGTGAGGGTTTTTTTTTTAGCTCCAAAATTATTCTCCTCCTCCTTCTTTTCATTTTTGTGATCAGTTGTGATCAGGGTGCTGCTCTCTAGTGTAGAGTGCTTCACAACTGGATTCTGGCTGGAATGCCTTTTCAAGAAAAACAACTTCTGTTTATTAGGGAAGTTAATAACTCCCATAAATTTTGGAAACTCTTCCACTCATTCAAGCAAGAAGCCAGACCTAAAACTTTGACTAGATGCTATTGGAAAGGGAGAGATGAAAGAAAAGGACTAGGTGAGCCACTGAGGAAAATCTTTCATATGAGGAAAATCTTTTGGGTAAATAATAACATCTAACTGATTCATGTTCATATCAGTTTTTTAGGTTTTGGAAATGTTTTCATACTTAGTCACCACCTTTCCTACTGCATTTAAGAAGCTATTAAGCTACTGTATATAAGGTATTAAGAAGTTATTGTTTCTACTTCTTACAAAGTAAAAACTTTGAATAGTGAGATTGGCAACACATACATTTAATTAATAAATCTATGAGATAATAGGCAAGCTAGGAGCTGGTTTAGTCAATGGCAGCATTTAGTCAAAGGTAGATACTATACTTGGCAAGCAGGAATGACTGCAATGAGGAGAAAAGACTTGACCTGCTGAGGAGATGCTCCCTAACTATCTTATCTATTAGACTGATATAATTATCAGCAAAATGCTAGAAGTGGGTCAGGATGAATGCCATATCTGCTATTGTTCACAATCCATATCCCTTGCTCTTCAAAATAACGTTGAGGCTTCTAGCAATCACCTTAGTGAATGCAATGAGCATATGTTTCTAAGCTTAAAAATAGATTGGGTATCCCTCTGAAAACTTCAGTAAGTCCACTGCTTTGAAATATTTTTTTTGGCAGTATTTCTTGGCTTAGAACATGCCTATGCTGTAAATTTATTAGAAACATAAACATAAAATATTGACATCTCATTCCCACTAAATTTCTTCAGATTGTTAGAATATAGAAAATTTGTAATATTGAATATAGAAAGTTTGTAACTCCTTCTAGAATCTAATAGTTTTTCCCCTGTTGTAGTACTTTATAGATTAAAGTCAAATGCAGAAAGATATTCTACAAAAATATGAATAGTGCTAGTTCCTTGGGACAAACACTTTGGGCACATTCCAACCCAAACAAAACACAAAACTCTTTAGGTTTTACAGGAATTATTTACCATGGCTTGTTGAAATCACAGGAAACCTACAGTGATTATGTCCAGAACATTTATTCATAGACTCCCATACTGAACTGCTTTAATTGTTTTTGTTGAACATATATTTAATATTATAATAGGAAGCATCATCCATGTACGGTATATGCTTGACGAGATTCATTGTTATCTGAAATTCTACCCACTTCCAACTAATGTAAATTCACTACTCAGACTAATTAAATTATAAACATCATAGCAATTTAAAAGTTTGTCATTTATTTCCCAGTGGTAATTATTAGTCTGATTTTGCAGTTTCTTTCATGTACAATTGTGAGATTAAGGAGACACTGGAGAAAATATTGGTCATTATATTTGCTAACTACCTAGGAACAAGATGCTTGTTTTTATCTTCTATCATGAATGTTTTCATTCCAGAATTGAGGTTGCAGTTATCTGTAGTTTTTCTTTTCTTTAGTAAAGTGCCTGTTATTTACTTTTCTATGAATTTATTACCTTTGTTAATGTTGCCTAAAGTAGTGTAAGCCTGAGGCTCACATAAGCTTTTGGGAAGTTGGAAAGGCTGCATCTCAGGAACATCAGTATTATATTATACTGTACTGTCATGGCATCTCTGTAAGAGGTCTTCCTACCTTAGAAAAGAAAGGGTGTATTGCAGTAGCTGCAGAATTTTGCAGGGCACCTTTAGAATTAGCATTGATTGAGTCTGTACTAAAGGAGCGTATTGTGATTGAACCTTTATGGAGGAACAGTTAATGATACTCTCTCCCATAATCATTTCTAGTTTTTGAAGAAAATGTTAAGCCAGAGGTCCCCAACCACTGGTCCATGGACCGGCACCGGTCTGTGGCACACCAGCAACTGGTCTGTGCAAACAAGCGAAGCTCTACCCATGGGATGCAGGCAGCACATGAAACCACGCCCCTGTCAGTCCATGGAAAAACCTCTCACCATGGAACTGGTCCCTGGTGCCCAAAAGGTTGGGAACTGTTGTGTTAAGACAATGTTTTCCAGTACTTTTGCTCATATAATGATGAGGATTCAGAGTTGTGTGCATAACCTAGATGTGTCACACACTGGCCATTCACCCACCCCATTTTAGCGAAGGAGAAAACAGTTGCAATACATCACATGACAACAATGTGATGACATTTAATACCCCTGATCTAGACTTAGTTTTAGAAATTTTAAAATGGGAGATCTTAAGGTTGTAAGTTTATGACAGAAAAATAAATAGAAAGATCTGTAGTGAGGGAATAGTTTTAATTTGTCTAGAGCTGGTACCCTAATCAAATACTTACCTACTTACAGGTAGTCCTCGACTTACAATCACAATTGAGCCCAAAATTTATGTTGCCAAGTTCACTTGGTTGTGAATTTTGTTAAGTGAATTTCATCCCATTTTACAACTTTTCTTGTCACAGTTGTTAAGTGAATTGCTGCAATTGTTAAGGAAGTGACACTGTTCTTAAGTGAATCTAGTTTCCCCATAGACTTTACTTCTCAGAAGGTCACAAAAGATGATCACATTACCTTGGGATACACATTACCTTGTCAAGCATCACAATTTTGATCATGTGACCATGGGAATACTGCAAAATGGTCATAAAGCACGTTTTTCAGTATTATTGTAACTTTGAGCCGTCGCTAAATGAACAGTTGTAAGTCAAAGACTACTTGTATTTCATCCTTGCTCCTTGAAAATTGCCAAAATGTGGAGCTCAGAGTAAGACATTTAAGTCAACAACTTGGTATACAATAAGACAAGCTACAGAAACATTGGTCTTCATCATTAAAGAACACAATTATTTAAACAAAACATTTTAGCTTAAAAATAATTAGTGAAATTATTTTTATATGTGAAACTGTCATAAATGTTCAAGTATTAAAATTCAAGTATTCATATTGTAACAACCTACTAAAATAGTTAATACTTTTGGTGAATTTGAATGGATTTAATTTATTGGAGTGCCAAAAATGTGATCCAAATGCTACTCTTGTCCTTTATCAGACTAAACCAAATTTTGGAACAGTTGTTCCACTGGGGATACAGGTATAAAGGATAGCTTCTTTCTCCCATCTTATGGCAGATAACTCTTGCAACTATTTATATCCACAATACAGCAGTTGATTATTATACACATTGTTATTTTTTGTTTGTTTGTTTCCATATACATTCTGATGCCCAGTATCTGAAATAAAATACAGAGATGTGGAAATCAGAATACACTTTAAAAGAGCACAAATAGAAAGATGGATCCATTTTTTAAACAAAAACTTCTAAAGTGGGCTGGAAGAAAGGATAATGTGTCTACCTCTTTGTTTTTGTTTTTCTTTTTTTAAACAAATAATAATATGGAATGAGAAGAGTAAGTCATCTGGTCTGTTCTTTGGGGTACTGGATTCATTACCTGGACCCGAGCCTCGGTGAGGTTGACCCTGCGTGCAAGGTCTTCTCGTACAAAAGCATCTGGGTAATGTGTCCGCTCAAAGACTCTCTCCAGGGCCTGAAGCTGGCTGCTGTTGAAGGTAGTCCTGTTTCGCCTCTGCTTTCGTTTCTTCTTCTCTTCAGAATTCAGCTGATCACCTGACAAAGGAGACAGCCGAAATCTGTCATACAATATAGTGTTTCAAATTCATCTCCCTCTATTGACTGAGTGAAAAGGCAGTATTGTCTTCTTAAAGACTTTAAGGCTCAGACTATTCTTATCAAAATAACTCGGACAACAGAAATATCATACACCAGGACACAGAGAGAGTGCCATGCACTAGTAATATTAGTTATTCATTACATATATGGATGCATAGCCTAGAATCAGACTGTTTTGTGAGGTAAAGGAATATTAAGGATCTCCACAAATCTCCACAAATTTTTTCATAAAAGAAAATGAATAACTTGCTCTGCAAACGAGATCAAGACCAATAATATTTTAATAATTTTAAGCTTCTTTGTAACACTGAATATTATAAATACATGGTTTTTAAAATCTTTTTATAATCTACTCAACTAAAAAAATAAATGGTATCATAGTTATTTGTGAATCACATACATTTTCCCCAAACTATAAAATTTCCCTATTATTATCAAATTGCCCTCCATTTTTTACTCTTTTGATGTTAACTATTTCTTGATTTAGTTACAAAGAATATTATCACTTTTCCTCTCTTTCCTCTCATAAAATTCCTCTCGTATGATATCTTTCTCTTCCTTTTATAGAATCATTTTATTATATAGTATTTAATTATATAACAGTGCTCCAATAATTGAGGGGCTGACACAAAGATAAGGGGGTCAACCTATTTCCCAAAACACTAGAAGGCAAGAAAAGGAAAATGGATGGAAACTAATAAAGGAGAGAACTAACCAGGGGTGGGATTCTACTAGTTCGGGCCGGTTTGCAAGAACTGGATGTTAATCTTACATCCAGTTAGGCAAACTGGTAATTCTGAATACCAGCTGGCCCCACCCACCCCTCCCCTCCCAGGAGTCCCCATGAAGAAGCCCGTCTGGCAACCAGGTAAGTGTAGGGTAGCCTCCTGGGAGCAAAAATGGGGCATGGGGCATGGGGGGGGGGTCCGGCACCACCCCACCCCATTTTTGCTCTCAGGAGGCTCCAGGGAGGCTTGCTAGGCCAAAAACACCACACACACTCCAGACCCTGTTTTTGCTCCTAGGAGGCTCCAGGGAGGCTCCTTCTAAAACATAACAAAGGATGCATTTGTTCCCCCTGTGGAACAGAAAATGAGAAATGAAATTATAGATAAAAATAATAGTAGATATTAAATTCAGCATTCAACCTATATGCTATTATGTCTTAAGGGATCCTGAATTGGAAGATCAGTATGATTTTAAGACTGGAGAAAGAAGCATCAGTGACCTACATTATGTTGATGACGTTACTCAGACAACCAAAAATGCAAAGGTTCCACAAGCTCCAGTGATAAAATGGAAGGTGCACAGTGAAATAGTGGGACTACACTAACTTAGAATTGACAGTGAAAACATTGAAGTCGTAGGTGCTTCTGCCATTTAGAAGTAACCATCAGCCATAAAGGAGCAAGTAGTCAAGGAAAATGCTGAAGACTAGCACTTAGTGGAGTAGCCATGAAGATCTTGGAAAAGATATTCAGATGCCATAACATGTCAGAATAGTGAATGCAGTGATATGCCCTTTGACACTCCGTGAAAGCAAAAGTAGGACTTTGAAGAAGTAGGATTGAAAAAGTACTGACGCTTTTGAAAACTCCCAAGAATATAAGGACACAAGATACAAATAAATGGATCATTGAACAAATTTACCCAGAGTTCTGTTTCAATCACTATTGAGCAGGCTAAAGTGATCATACTTTGGATACACTGACACTGGTTTGATGACATCTAATCAAGCTAGCAGACAAGCAAACTTAGCTATGTTGGTAGATTTGGGGGTTCTGCTGATTTTCATTCTTTTCATATAAAATCTAGATTTATACATTTAGATTTTGATAATTAGTCACATCCAAATCTGAGCTTCTTTAGCAAAGAAGGAAAAAAGGGTTATCTTGTTATCAGGAGAGGCTCAAGTATGAGCCTGTAGAGCCTTTCTGCAGAGCTTGTTTATCCAAGGCCGCTGTCCTCCATAGAACAGACAGTTATGTGTTTGAGCTGAGTGGAACCTGCCCCCACATGAATGGTTTACTAGTTAGGTTGTTCCAAAGGTGCTTTTTCAAGAAGTAACTGGACTTTCTGGATTTTCTTTGAAGAAGCTTCTTGAATGAGAAATGAAATGTCTTCAAAGAAAAATCAGAAAGTCCAGTTGCCTCTTGAAAAAGCACTTTTGGGACAAGCATGACCTGGATGACTGAGAAACTCCATAGACAGTTACTAGCTAAGGGAAAATAGCAATGACAGCATTACAATAATAACAGGGAAATGGAGGAAATCTTTAAAAAAATGGGCCACAGCACATCTGCATGTCCAGATGGATGATGTGCTTGATAAGATTCATGGCATAATAAAACTTACATTTCTTCCACTAAGTGAATTTCCTTTTTAACTGTCCTTTTTATTGTGATATTATCCAGCCCAGCTTTATCATTCCTCTGTCTAATAAAGCCATTGTAAAGAATTCTAATTATTAAACATGCATGCATAATTTTGCAATATGTTCGCTCCACAGCAAGAAAATACAATATGCTGGGAACACAGCGACCTCATAACCCTGAAGGCAATCTCTATAGTAAAGTAAGACATAAAATGGTCCCTTAAGTATCATTACAGGGTGGAAGCAAAGCACAGGAACACACAACATTAAACCTTCAGCTGGGAAAAAGAAAAAGAAAAAGAAAAAACCAACACCCATTTCAACAGCAATGTAAACCACTTCAGGTCAACCAAGATCTTAATTGTGCAGGCCACAATGAATAAAATGATTAATAGCAGAACAAAATAATCCAGTTGAGCTGCCAAGTTTTTTTCTGGCTAAAGCTACTGAGCTTTTGATAGCTACATGATGGCTAGAAAGTCAATGCCTAAATTCTTCTGTTTATTAAGAAATTGCAAGATATTGGATGAAAATTAGAACTAATACAAGTTTTCGTCTCTGATTAATGTGCTAGGGAGGGTATCCCTGTTCCAAACAATCAATAATGGAGTCCTAAGAACCATTACATGTTTTTCTCTAGGAGCCTGCAGTGATTCCCAGCACTTGATCTGTAATATCATATTTAATCTGGAATTTTGTATGTCATGTATGTATGTAACCATTCTATCCTTAGGGATTCATTGAAGTAATCATTGGGAGTATTTGCCAGAACTTAAAACTTAACACTGCTTTTATACAGTGTTTTTATGCTTGGGTTGTGGGGGGCATTGTTTACAGACATTTTGAATGCTCAAGTGAAAAGAAATATAAATTGAATAAAAAATAAATGTACATAAGAAAACTCTTTTCCCAATCCATGAAGGAAGAATGAAGTGGGCCTTATTATTGCCTACAGATTCTGGAAAGACTGATCCCAGGTGTAATCATAAATTAGCACAGGAAAAGGTTTACCTCAGCTGTAGATATTCATCATATTTATGGAGATGCCTTCCCTTGCATCTATTTCATGTAGTTTTGAGAAACGTTAAATCCAATGAAGAATGAAGAAGCTTCAGAGGACACGTACTGGGAGAATGAGCCTTCTCTGGACAACAGTGAGCACTTTTTCATTTTACTTCCTTACTGAATAATCTGCACATAGGATAACAGATATAGAGTCTAGGAACAAAAACTAATTGCACAGAGCATAATTTAACTATGGCTGGATATAAGAATAAAAGAATCCAAGCTTTTTCTAAATCCAGTAGTCACAAGCCCAGAATCGCCTTATAAGAGAGATGGGCGGCATAAAAAACCCCCAATCAATAATTAAAACAATCTTGGAGGGTGGAGCTAGCATTGCGACAATACGGCATGTGATCTTGGAGGTCTGAGATCGCTGCTGATATCTTTGCTCCTGGACAGTCCAATCAGATCTAAACTGTCCCGAAGAGACGGTGAAAGTGAAGAGCGCATCCTGTCGATCCCAGAGATACCGCAAAGTCCCTGGTAGATCCAGGAGAAGCTCTTTTTGCCAGTGGCAAAGAGGCAGCCATTAAAGCTGCTGAAGTTGGGACAGCTCCGAAATGAAAGAGAACAGAAAGAGAGAGTGTGCCGGTTTGATGAGAACTTTTTCTTTATTCTAAGATCTGAAAGGACACCCTAAGGAAAAGAAAGAATCTATAAAAGTTTTGACAGAAGTGATTAAGCGGTGATTTTAAACAGGAATGTCAAGTAATTTTTTTTTCTCATTGCTGGATTTTTTACACACGATCTTATACTTTGAAACTGGACTGGTTTTTTCTCTTCTTTTATCTATTCTTTTTCTCCTTTTTGATTTTATAATATTTTAGGCTAAAGACTCCCTTTTAGTTATTTTTTTTAAATATCTTTTTCATTTTTTAATTAATTCTTATTATATCTTGCTTGAAAAAGGAGGGGGAAAGTGAAAGCAAAAGAAACTTTGTAACACTGCCAACTAGAGGCTTGGAAATATTCTATTTCTCTTTTGACCAGACAAAGCTGAGAAAGAACTGACACTTCTTTTCAAGGACATTGCTATTTGATAAGATAGAGGGAAGAGCATGGGAGAGTATTATTGCAGGTGCTCTTCTGGGTTTCTATCAACAGCTGCAGTCTGGTGTTGAAGCTTATAGGAAAAGAAAAGGTGATAAGTCTCTGGAGAAGAGAGTCATAATAAGAGCCTTGGATAATTAAACAAAGTGCAGTGTGCTCTTTTTATTTTTTCTAAGCTGCGCTACCCCTCCTCAACAGTTTACTTTTTGTAATAGCTATTTGGATTTTTGGCTCTTTGGAACTTGTTTTTTTTTTCTTGACTTTGGAAGTTAAATTTTTACGCTTGCTTTTTATTTTAAAGGAAAAGCTTTAGTATTAATGATTCCCTTCCTTTTCTTTTTAAGGGAGTAGCCTTTTTTCTCTTTCTCCCTTCCGGTATTTTTGTCTTTCCATCTACCTTCCATATTGTTTTTTTTTTAATCTTTCTGGCCTTCTTTTTTTTTCCTTA